TACTATATTATAATGCTCATAGGCGTCAGCGTGGTCTTTCGATGGTCAGGGTAAGAGAGGCGTGGTTTTATCAATGATGGAGTAAGGGGAGGCGTGGTCTAACGATGGTAGGGGTAATAGGTGACTTAGGCGGGGATGTTAAGATCAATCAAAATGGCGGTTTAATGTGCCCATGCGCACTATAACTTCATGTCAGCGGTGGGGGAGGTAGCCATATGGTTGTTCTCCTCCTATGATGTCATCTACTGGAGGGTAAGGTAAACGTCATGTGAACTGATAACGTTATCTGATAAACGTACTAGTTATAACATCTACTAGATACATTGAAATAGTGTACGTCATATAGTTGCCGCCGTTTTCACTATAACATATTTACTTAATATTATCGCAGCAGGGGTGTCCGTCAAAATTCCTACAGAGGGAGGGGGTAATGAAACATAACATAAACTAACCTGTAATGGGTGGGGATGAATCCAAGTTAAACTAACAACGTTTTCTATGAATATTATCATTGCCTACCAGACGCTTAGGTAAGCATATTTCAGACATCGAATGTATTACTATATTATAACGCTCAAAGGCGTCAGCATTTTATGAAAACAATGACAACGTCTGTCGTTATTCCATTATAATTTCTAAGAATTTTATCATCGGTTACCAGACGCTTAGGTAAGCATATTTCCAACATCAAAGGTACCGCTATATTATAACGTTCATAGGCGTCTGCATTTTTATTTTTTACATAGTATTTTATCATTGCCTACCAGATGCTTAGAAAAGCATCTCGTTTATATTAGTATATTACTATTAATTATATAATTACTATAATTGGTATTATATTTTTAGAATTAACTATGTTTGTCGTTATTGGTTGCTATAATAGTATAATCGCTATTGGTTATTATTATTATTTTCTACTGCACCTTTAAAATAATAATATGTGTATTGCATTTTATTTTATTTTATATTATTTGACAATTTTTTTTTTTCATACCTATAACTAGAGGTATTACATTTAAAGTCGCACCCTCACAACCAGCACCCACGAGTCTTCACTGCGTTTAACATTAAATGTAGCGGCCGCTGTCATCACACTTGTCCTTGACTATTACAGAAGTTATAATTAATTGAATTGTACATAATAATTATAACGTCGTTATCGATGGTTACAATCAAGTAATTGTCACCGTCGAGAACGTCCTACATACAATCGTTAGTAATAACACTTCGGTGATAACAGCTAAGTGGGTAAACCGAATTGGGTATGAGGTGCGCACAATGGATGAAACCCAATGAAAACTAACCTTTGTCGGGGGAGAGGGATCTCCTCAACAAGTCCGAATGAGCGAAGGGGTAATGAAACTAAACTTGAAACCAACCGCCATGTTATAACCCATATTACCGTCAACATTTTATAATTGCTGTCTGCGTTTTATCAAAGTATCTTTTTCTAAGAATTTTTATCATTGCCTACCAGACGCTTAGGTAAGCATATTTCAAATATCAAAGGTACCGCCTTATTATAATCCACATTACCGTCTACATTTTATAAGAACAAAGACAACGTCTGTCGTTATGACATTATAATTTCTAAGAATGTTATCATCGGTTAGCAGACGCTTACATCAGCATATTTCGAACATCAAAGAGGTCACCGTACAGTAATGGTTATTGTCGTTTGAATCTTATCATCGGTTGCCAGACGCTTATGTAAGCATATTTCCGACATCTATTGTGTAGTATCTGTTTAAACCAACCCAAACTTGTCTAAATAAGATCATTGACCCCTATAATTAAACGTCACATCAATTTCAGACTCATTCACTCATTATCTTTTCTAAAGCGATTATACCAAAAACCATTTGTTTGATTATTTCTATTTGTTGTCCTGAAGAATTTCTTACTTGTTGTCTTTTGATATAAAATAAAGTAAGTAATACATTTATATATATTTTTCATTTAAACTGTTTTCTACTGACTTTGATTACTAGTATGTTTAGAGTTGTTAAATATTTATTAATTTTTTATTTTAGAATGAAGCAATTAAAGAAACAGTTGAACGATCAGAGTACATTAAAAAGATATTCAAAATTAAGTGATTTGGAGGAACACACGCCATACAAAGTCTATGAAAAATACAAGCACACGAAATGGGGTTGTCGTTGTTGATTGTCTATTCAACAATATGAATGTGTTTATCCCGAGATTGAAATTAACTAATGAAGAAATCGAAGCTTACAATATCAACAATGATGATAACAAANCTTACAATATCAACAATGATGACAACAAATTATATTTATTATATAGAGATAAAAGTGGAAATGCATATTTGTTTGATTTTCAGTAATTTGTTAATATTTTGCCTTGTTTTTTAAACTTATTTATATAAAATAAAAAAACTTATTATCATAAACTTGTAAGATTTAAAATTCAATAAAATATACTATTTTTTATTTTATACAATTTTGTCGTATTTATTTACACTTTATGCCTTTGTGTATAATGAATATTAAATATAAGTCTGTAGTACTAAGCAGTACAAAGAAGAGTTTTACACATTAAATAGCAAATTTACTATACGCTATGGTATTTGTAGCAGGTTGTACTATGTATGGCATGTAGTAGGCTGTTTATAAAAGTAGTAGGGACACTGTGTCGGTTTACCGAACAGCGTGTCCTGGAATCGTATAATCTCGATACAACAAGTCTGAACATGTTAAAACCTGTCTGAACGCGTTCAAATCCCTGTTCATCCTGTTTGAACCCCGTCTGCTTGTGTTTACAACTGTTTGTATCATATCTAACGACGAAAATTAGACTATTAATTACTATTGGGTTTAAATTAGTTAATAACTTCACCGTGGTGTAAGCATAGCGCTCTAATCGTTATAAGATTTTCTATATAAACAGACGTTACTTTAACTTGTTGGTAATGTGTTAAGTCGATATTTGTATACTTTAAGAATGGCTGGTTCTCTCGCTACAATTACTAAATTCTATAACAAACAAACATTTGTTAAACCCCAACCTCACAGTGAATTAATCTATTGCACTGATTACGTTTTGAATTTCAATCCTCGTAAATTCGTTCAGATAGGATTGGATCCAAAAGATCGATTTAACGTAACTATTCGTTTACTATCGTCAACCCGTTACATACTTATAACGATAGATTTCCTACAACGGATTTATACGTTGATGGGTAATATTCTATCTCTAATTTTCGACCCTGTATCAAGACAAAAGATTATTTNATTAGAGATACCAGGTCGAGAATTAGTCTCGACCTGGTATCAAGACAAAGGATTATTTTACTCAAGAATGAATACGTCACACTCTCAAAGACTACGTTTCAAGGAGTCTTCGCTAGTCTTTGAATCACAAGCACAAGATGAATGCCGAGTGTTACTCACCCAATCAGACATTTTAAAACTCAGCGCTTTGGAATGTTGTATCTTTGAGACTATCAATCAAAAGATGACTGTAATTCAACCATTGGTTCTACAACAGTTGGAACAGATGGCTCAATATATGAAATCTCAGTATGAAGTAAATGTGGAAAACAAATGTATGTTGATCAATGCGGTTTCGGATTATACGATTAGAAATAGTTTACCCAATAGCGATCTGAGCTACATAAGCCAAATAAAACAATTTGCGAGNTCACCTGAAGTGGTGTATTTTTCTGTTTCTTTTTGTTTCTTGTTCTGACGTACATAGTGCTAACGAACGCGACTACGGCTTATACATAGATATATATATATATCTTGATAGATAATTGTACGCCGTTCTTGGACTACGCATTAAGTTGTGATAACTGTATATATACTTATATATATACTTGTGAATAATTGTGCGCCTCCTCTGGATTACGTATTAAATTCAACCATTGGTTCTACAACAGTTGGAACAGATGGCTCAATATATGAAATGTCAGTATGAAGTAAATGTGGAAAACAAATGTATGTTGATCAATGCGGTTTCGGATTATACGATTAGAAATAGTTTACCCAATAGCGATCTGAGCTACATAAGCCAAATAAAACAATTTGCGAGCCAGCAGTTGGAACAACGGTGGACGATGCTGGAAGAATATACTAAAGAAATGGTGAATTACATTTTTTTTTCTAATTGAGTAGAACATATTAAATATGTTAAATTATTATATAGTTAAATATATATTAAAATTATTTCTATTTATTAAATTTTAATAAATAGAAATAATTTTTTTCAGTCTTCTAACGGAGAAAACGTATGCTTGACATTTTTTGGGTTGCTGGCCGATGATATACAGTCGGAAACAATCATACCATCAAGTACAAACAACCAAGAAATACCAACAGTAGTTGTTAGTAATAGCTATCCGTCGTAAAACGACAAGTATCTAAAATATGTATATAATTTATAAAAAAAAAATGTTTAAAATAAACGTATGTTGCATTGACAAAATAGTGCTGTTATTATTATATACTGAGACAGAGTGAAAATCTCGTTTTTAACGGAATTTGTAATGAAAATATTAATGGATACAAAGATTATAAATACGTTTAAAGAATAATATTTAAAATAATGATTATTATCTAAGATTTTATTTCTCTAATAACATCATATAAAAAAAAAACTATGTTTCTATAAAACTCAAATCATTTTTCTTCTTCTTAATTCTTGAGAAAAGTTAAAACATGGTCAAAAACCTAGCTGTATGATATCATATGCATGTAAAACACCGTAGGGTATTCTTAAAGTTTTGGTGGATAATACCTTACCATCAAAATGTGACATCTCATTACGTAACTATAGCTTAAATACTTTGGCATACTTACACGTACAACTATTGTACTGTGCAGAAGAGAAAAAAAAGTTGTAGTATATAAATATATATATATATATATATATATATATATATANCCATGTCAAATGCGTAGCACTTTGATCGAAGTGCAGCGATCTCAAAGAGAGTGAGGCCACTGGTCTCGTCTGAAAACAAGCCGGGCATCTTCTTTCTATCGGTGGAGTAGCAAGGGTGATCCTTGGGCAGGCTAGATGCGTCCACGTGCACCAGTAAATCGGGGCTACCAGCTAAATCCTGGTAGAAGTCGCCTACTCTGAGCAGGTATATGAAGGAGTCTGAGAAAAATTAAAAATATATAAATATAAAAAATATTTCTACTGTACGGTTGTACTCACCAGTATCCATGTAAACCAATTCGATTGCACTGCCATAATGTGGTTTCAATACGTCGTAGAAGTACTTGTACATTAGCGTCTTGCTAATGTCAAGCACTGCTAAACCGACGTATATTGGTTTGATAAACTTGACCATCTTTGTGTCCATTATGACGGCGCACAACCTTTCACCGTATTTGATACAGTCGTTGAAGGTTGGTTGGTTTACGAGCTTGCTTAGACGTTCGGGACTGGAGATTAGCTCAATACGGATGCGTTTCCGCATGTTCTCCATTGTTTTCCCTATAAAATGTAAAAAATTATCGAATAACCCACTTTAGCATTGAGCATGCACTTACCAAAGACGGCATTGTTCATTAGTTTGAAAAATGCAATTTCAAAAGCATTTGCCGCCTTTTTCCGCATTTCAGTGTTCAACTCAATGTATGGTTTCAACCAAGCACTTTGTTGAAACTCTAAAACTCGGTGCACCTGGAGTACAAATATTTATATTAGTATCATCGCTTATAGTTTATAGATTAATTATACATACTTTATCGACTTGCAGTCCGTGTGCGATTGCCTGTTTTAAGTTGACATAGTGTACGACGTACCGCTGTTTGGGTTTCAAAGTGGCCATGAGTTTGGTCTCTTTGGAACCCGGCGGTACATCGTTGACAGGCAAGAACGGCAAGTTGTTGTGCTCGTCATGCAACTCTTGTGGATACGATACGTCCTCTTCATATATACGCCCCGTATTACCAGTGTCCGAAAACGATTGGAGGTCAGCCAGAGGGTCTGCTCCTTTATACCACCGGAAGCCACCATACGGCATGGGCTGACTCATAGCCCACCCGTAAAGGTTATTGCCTGTAAACATTAAACGTTATTAAACCACCGCTCAAATATTGCGTGTTTATATATGCACGTATAGATTACTTACAGTCTTGGTATACGATCCATGATTCTAGTTTTGACGGATCGTAATCGGGTGTCTTAGAATTGTTGGCCTTGTAGTGCTTGACGGCCTGCACTAACCCACCACGAATGCCCTGTTCCACCATCAGTAGCATGTCGTAGTCGTTGAAGAGCTCCANACCTTTGCGTAGTGCTTGACGGCCTGCACTAACCCACCACGAATGCCCTGTTCCACCATCAGTAGCATGTCGTAGTCGTTGAAGAGCTCCAGCTTCATCCCAGTGTACTTCAACATACAATCGAAGCTAAAACCAGGCGCGGTGTAATAGTGCGCCGGGTCCACATTGTATGTTGAAATACAGATGTCGTGAAAGTTCTCAAAAACGTCAGCCAACAACATCACTTCGATCTTTAGGTATAGGTCGCTGTACTCACCGAGGGTTGAACAGTCGAAACGATTTCACACCTCTGTGGCATGTCTATAGTCGTCGGCATCAATATTAGACTCACTCAACTGACTATAGAAAGCGTCCTGAGGTGGTAGTTCCGTTTCGTCCAATTTAGCCCAACTATTAGTGTACTCGTAAGGGTATACGCCCTTACGCGTCACCAACGGCATGTCTTCCGGGCGGAACACCTTGGCCGTCTCCCGGAATTTAACAAAGTCGGGCGTCATTAGGTTACCGNTCCGGAATTTAACGAAGTCGGGCGTCATTAGGTTACCTGCCAAAGTGGACAGGGAGGAGGCCATGAATCGGAAGGTGTCGACAAACCGTGTGGTGAAGTTATTGGTCACGTGTTTTGTGACCGAAATATACTACTCCTCGGAATTCGGTATGACCGAATGTCGTACCCTAATTCAGTGACGATAAAATGCGCGTCGCAACCTGAAAGATTGTGCAAGAAGCACGGCACAAAGTTGACCGTCTTCACTTTCAGGTTACATGCATTGCACAACGTCTGTCTGAATCGCCCCGATAAATGGCAGTGGTCTGCGACTTTGGGGTTGGAATCCTTGAATGCCGTGCAGNTAGTGTACTCGTAAGGGTATACGCCCTTACGCGTCACCAACGGCATGTCTTCCGGGCGGAACACCTTGGCCGTCTTTCGGAATTTAACGAAGTCGGGCGTCATTAGGTTACCTGCCAAAGTGGACAGGGAGGAGGCCATGAATCGGAAGGTGTCGACAAACCGTGTGGTGAAGTTATTGGTCACGTGTTTTGTGACCGAAATATACTACTCCTCGGAATTCGGTATGACCGAATGTCGTACCCTAATTCAGTGACGATAAAATGCGCGTCGCAACCTGAAAGATTGTGCAAGAAGCACGGCACAAAGTTGACCGTCTTCACTTTCAGGTTACATGCATTGCACAACGTCTGTCTGAATCGCCCCGATAAATGGCAGTGGTCTGCGACTTTGGNTAAATGACAATGGTCTGCGACTTTGGGGTTGGAATCCTTGAATCCCGTGCGGCACAAGTCGCATACCACTTTCTCCGCGTGCCTGCGCACATCTTCGACAGACATTCGGATGGGGACGTTGGTTTTGCGCAATAATTTAGAAATGTTGCGCGTCACTTCAGTTACAGCCATCACAAATGCCTTGACGACCTCTTCGCGATCCTCGGACCCACGGTATATCATCGGTGATTGTGGTATACCATAGCGTTCGAGGAACTCAGAGGGCACATCGTCCGATGTTTTCACCATGAACCCGTAGCTCATGGGATAGTGGGTGTGCACAGTCCTGGTGTATGCACCCATACGATCGTCTGTTTTCTTCAGTAAGGCCTCAAAATCGGCGTAGATGACAAACGGTAACCGTTGCATCTTTACCCACGCGTCAAAGGCGACCTTACTACCCTCCGCCGGCATAACGGGTAAAATTGGTTTATTTTTACCGCATATCAACTTGTGTTGCTCCATCGCTTGTTGACCCCGAAGAATATGATTTTTGGGCTAATCATCAAAGCTGGTGAAGCAACGTTTGCAAGTGTATATGCGGCATTTATGATTTGTTTTTTGGCTGTGCACGAGCCTCGAAAAATCGGAAATGTACGCGTAATGATACTTGTCAGAGTCACCGATGTACAACAGGTCAAAATGATTCTGTTGCTCTTGGTCGGCGACTCTTAGAGGATACACCAACCACTTCATCTTATCGTCGTCTCGTTCCAAGCCGTACACGTTGACAGACACGTTAGGGTTTCGTCGTTCAAATATTTTAATTTGGGACACAGGTGTGGGGAACGTCAACCCCGTAAAATCATACCTGTGTTCCTCGTTAAAATATTTTCGATCAACGCGATATTTGTGGTCTCCCTTGACGTGTATTGCCAAAATGGACCACTTGAAACAAGACTGATCGATATTCTGTGGGTTGATGATTGCTTTTCTTTGGTTAATCTCTGGTGGGACAGGAATATATGATGAGCCGGCGAGGGGCGTATACTTGTATACGCTGAGCATAAGGCCGTCGATATGCGTTAGCGTGAATCCGCTACCCCTACCCGAGTACGCGTCTTCCTCGGCAAGCATAACCTCAAAATCTTCATCGACCGCACACCCGATATCCGTATCAGATAGCAATGCCCTAGCCCCTGTCTTGAAGGCACGGTCTTCAGACGGTGCTTCTGATCGCAGTATATGGTATGAGGCCTCCAATTTGGGATTATACTTGATCGGACGGTTACCTACGATTTCAGCGAGTCTGGCCACCAGCTCAGGTTTAACGGCGCGCAGAAAATCTCGATAGCTCGCGAAATTTTCCACGTTCTTCCGGTAAAACCAAACGGCTATCCCCGCTCCATTGCGGAATCGATCTCGGTGAAATCACGGGTATCCGTCAATTGCATACGTAACCATTTCGACTTAACCGCGCTGTTGTTGGCCCTACTACGCTTAGCCGCCTGATGTGACGAAACAGATGTCACGGAAGTAGCTTTAATCAAAAATGAAATAAATTATTTATTTATTAGCAAAAAAATAAAAAATAAATAAAGATTGTAGGTGTAGTAAAATTAAAGAGATATTAAAATGTTAAAAAATCTACATACCTGGTACAGAAGACGTAGGCTGGTTCATGATTTTTTATTTGGACGTGTAAAATATTAAAATAACAAATTTATAGTTTTCAAATAATCAACTGTGCGTTAACATCAATTAAACTCGTATGTGACAGGTTACAGAGCGTTTAACCGGTTATATAGTAAAATAACAAAATGCGTAGGCGTGAAAAAAGACAACGTTGCCATTTTCCTCATAAAATGCATACGACAATGACCATTAATATATTGTAACATCTTTGGAAATATGCTTACCTAAACGTCTGGCAACCGATGATAAGATTCATACGACAATAATCATTACTATGCGGTGACCTCTTTGATGTTTGAAATATGCTGACCTATGCGTCTGGTAGACGATGATAACTTTCTTAGAAATTATAATGTCATAACGACAGACGTTGTCTTTGTTTTCATAAAATGCGTAGGCGTGAAAAAAGACAATGTTGCCATTTTTCTCATAAAATGCATACGACAGTGATTATTACTGTACGGCGACATCTTTGATGTTTAAAATATGCTTAACTATGTGTCTGGTAGGCAATGATAAAAATTATTAGAAAAAGATAACTTTGATAAAACGCAGACAGCAATTATAAAATGTTGACGGTAATATGGGTTATAACATGGCGGTTGGTTTCAAGTTTAGTTTCATTACCCCTTCGCTCATTCGGACTTGTTGAGGAGATCCCTCTCCCCCGACAAAGGTTAGTTTTCATTGGGTTTCATCCATTGTGCGCACCTCATACCCAATTCGGTTTACCCACTTAGCTGTTATCACCGAAGTGTTATTACTAACGATTGTATGTAGGACGTTCTCGACGGTGACAATTACTTGATTGTAACCATCGATAACGACGTTATAATTATTATGTACAATTCAATTAATTATAACTTCTGTAATAGTCAAGGACAAGTGTGATGACAGCGGCCGCTACATTTAATGTTAAACGCAGTGAAGACTCGTGGGTGCTGGTTGTGAGGGTGCGACTTTAAATGTAATACCTCTAGTTATAGGTATGAAAAAAAAAAATTGTCAAATAATATAAAATAAAATAAAATGCAATACACATATTATTATTTTAAAGGTGCAGTAGAAAATAATAATAATAACCAATAGCGATTATACTATTATAGCAACCAATAACGACAAACATAGTTAATTCTAAAAATATAATACCAATTATAGTAATTATATAATTAATAGTAATATACTAATATAAACGAGATGCTTTTCTAAGCATCTGGTAGGCAATGATAAAATACTATGTAAAAAATAAAAATGCAGACGCCTATGAACGTTATAATATAGCGGTACCTTTGATGTTGGAAATATGCTTACCTAAGCGTCTGGTAACCGATGATAAAATTCTTAGAAATTATAATGGAATAACGACAGACGTTGTCATTGTTTTCATAAAATGCTGACGCCTTTGAGCGTTATAATATAGTAATACATTCGATGTCTGAAATATGCTTACCTAAGCGTCTGGTAGGCAATGATAATATTCATAGAAAACGTTGTTAGTTTAACTTGGATTCATCCCCACCCATTACAGGTTAGTTTATGTTATGTTTCATTACCCCCTCCCTCTGTAGGAATTTTGACGGACACCCCTGCTGCGATAATATTAAGTAAATATGTTATAGTGAAAACGGCGGCAACTATATGACGTACACTATTTCAATGTATCTAGTAGATGTTATAACTAGTACGTTTATCAGATAACGTTATCAGTTCACATGACGTTTACCTTACCCTCCAGTAGATGACATCATAGGAGGAGAACAACCATATGGCTACCTCCCCCACCGCTGACATGAAGTTATAGTGCGCATGGGCACATTAAACCGCCATTTTG